GGTCCCTGCCTCCCCTCCCCACCTCGCCGCCCGCGCTCTCCCGCGCGCTCCCGGGCTCCGGCCGCCGCCTCGCTGAACCCAGAAGCAGCCGGGCCGGGGCGGCGGAGCCAGCTGGGGCTGCGGGCGAGCGGGCCCGCGGCTATGAAGTGGCACCCGAGGACACGGAGCCCGAGAACCCTCCGGGAGAGAAGCGCGCGCGGCGCACGGCGAGAGCCTGGAGGCGCTGGGGCCGGGGCATAGGACTGCCACCAGCGATGGACCGCGCCGGGGACGATCCGGACTCGCCACAGGTCAGTGCCCCGCGCCCTGCGCCCCCTCCGCCGCCGCGGAACACAGAGCCCCTTTATGCGTCCCCATCAATACCCACGCCATGTCCGCACGGGTGTTTGTGTGTTGGTGTGTGTGTGGGTGGGGGTTAGTGTTGGGGGGGGGGGGGGCAGGCCTGCAGAGGGGCTATGAAATAAAACCCGGACCTGTCCTGCTCAGTCAGGATTAAGGCTAGAGCTGTTTCTCAGAGGTGTTCAACCACTGGCCTTATCTTAGCGGGTCAATCCCTTTGCCACCTCAGCAGGTGGTTCCTAGTAGCCCACAGAAGGAGTAAGAACCAGCTCCTGGCCGCACCCCTGCTCACGACCAGTCACCCCCAACAGTTCTGCCTCTCCTGGGCGTTGACAAATTAATTCTTTTCAGGGGAGCTGAGCTCCGCATCTTTTCCGTGGGTGCTGAGGAGCTGAGGGATGTCAAAAGTGACACTAAACCGTAGAGTCCTCCACTACAGCAAAGAGGAAGGAGACAGGACCAGGTCATCACCTTCCTCCAAGCACTTGAGCAGACTAGTTCAGAAAAGGGAACTGAGAGTTGAGGCAAGAAACTGCCAGATCCAACCGTGCCAGAGAACAGGGTGACAGCCTTCTACTAGGTGGGTGAGGTTCAATCACCCCTGTCCCCTCACACACACAAACATGATCTTGACCAACTACCTCTTTCCTACCCACCCAAACCTAGCCCTGGTCAGGTACTATTGCACTAGCTGGTTGGCTTGTAGAAGCTGGATCTGAAAAGGATCCTCAGATTTCTATGGCACAGGACCCTGAGAAGGGCCCTTTGCTGGCAGTGGCTCCTTGGTTCTAGTGGAGTAGCTCTGCTTGCATGGAGTCAGTGTAGCTGGGATACTTGAACCTGCACTATCTGGCATGCACTGTTTCAAATGGATGAGGCAAATGATCTTGTGCCCAGCTGGAAATTATGGTGGGAGTGTGGGGGGGAGTATGTAAATGGCAAGCACACAGCTTCACAAGCCTAGAGTTGAGAGGCTATGTGCTCTAGGGTCTTCTAAGAGTTACCTTCTGTTCTTACATCGTCCTACATCTGTCAATAGTCACTACAGAACTGAGACATTTCCTTCTATCTAGTACCTGCTCAGTTGGTGACCATTATTGACTTTACTAGACCAAACATCAAGTCCTCCCTTTGTTCACATAGAATGAAGACTCTTCCCAGTGAGGCTCTCAAAAAACCTCCCACTCTGCTCAGTCCATTCCCAGGACCCACAAAGGTCCTGGAGCTGCATACCATTTCCTCTCTGCCCCTTTCAACAGGAGCAAAATGCTTGCTAGGGAGCCAGGAGGATGAATGCATTTGTGCCCCACTTGGCACTGGGGCCAGTGCCATGTTGCTCCCACTTCTGTAGCTGTTCTCTAGGTGCTTGGGAATCACCCTATGCTCAAGCTGGTGTACTTGGTTGGATATGCGCATATATTTCTGGGTGAGCAGGGACTGAATGTTCTACCTGAATCCTAGGGCAGATAAATCACTGAGGGATCCCCACTATAGAGTGGAAGCCTGTGGCAAAGAACACAGTTCCTAGAGGAAAAAGACCCTTTCATTCACCCAAACTTCTGAATAGAGTGGAACATTTCCCATAATTTTTAGGGAAGGGACTAAGCCTACCATGTTTTTATGGTGTGAAGTCCAGGGTGACAAGACTTTGCAAGGATAAAGCATGGAAAAGGATGAGCTAACCGGCAAGCCAGGCTCTGAGCCAGGGAGTCTGGTGGGTTCCATGTGGCTAGAAGAGAAGAATAAGCTGGCACAGAGATTTCTGGGTGATGGTATGTGTGAGAACTGGGGGAAAGGCAAGGCCTCAGGAAGAGAAATTGGATCCTGAGAGAATCCAAGAGAAGGCAGAGTGAGACCTCAGACAAGGTGCAGCAGAAGTTAGAGTATACAAAGCCCCCCTCTGTAAGTCTCCAGCATCCCAACACTGTCAATCACCCTTCCCAAGGGGGATCCCCTGGTGGACAGGCTACTAAGGAAGGCTCTGATGGAGTCGGGGTGGTTCACAGTGAAGGTAGGCTATAAGATCAAAAGCAAAGTGTACCAGGACCTTTATGAGACTCTCCTGCTGTGGTAATTCCCAGTGCTCCAGATTAGTTACCTTCTGGCCCCTGTCCACCTCCCTTGGTCCTGAAGTACAGTGTGATGGGGAAGGAAGCAGAGCCTGGACAGGCCTGACACTAATGGAGGAGGAGAAGAAGCCTCCTCCATGGAGCACCCTCCCTACCAGGCTTCCAGGCAAGACCTTTGGAGACCGCCCCCGCCCCGAAGACCAGAAGGGGACATAACCGTGATATGGAGGAGACAGGCCCTCAGCTGGGGTCCCACATGCCAGTTCCTCTTTTCACCAGCTGAGTGAGCTTTAGGGAGAAATGAGCCCTCTAAACCCTGTTTTCTTAACAGTCTGTAAATTGAGGGACCATCATCTCCTTAGACTGTTTGTAGGGGAAGTGCTATGAATGTTAATTTTATTTATTTTGTACTTTTCTCCTTCCCTTCTCTATTCTCCCAATATCTGGACGGCTCTAGAACTGGGAGCTGCAGTGGTCAGACCTGGCCAGTCCTAGCTAATCCCATCTGAACCCACCAATCAGTCCCCCTTCCATTCTGATCCATTGTGACCATCCAGCCTCCAGACTTTGAGTTGGACTCAAGCCTTTCCTGGTCCAAGACCAAAGTACTAGAGCATCTTCCTGCTGAAGAGCAGGAAGAATATTCATATCCAGTTGTTTTTCATTGTAATCATCTTAGTTTACCAGCATATGGTTGCCTAAAATATTTGAATTTACAATCACTCAAAATTTGTGACTACTTATGCTGAAAGGTGACAGTGGTCAGAGGTCACCCAAAATTCAATCCACTTGCATTGACTCTAAGTACCTACTGTGTCCCAGACTCTGCACCTAAAGACAAGGACATATTGCATCAAACAATCCAAAACCTGTGTTTCTATTTGGCTTTGGGAGGGTTGCTTGCTTCTTTTTCTTTTTTTTTTTTTTTTTCCTGCAGCTACAGCAAATTTACTTTTCTAATGAGGTTTAGCTCCAGCCCGTATTAAAATGAGTCCGCACTCCCTGCGCACACACCAGCTGACAGCAGCACAGGAGGGAGGCTCTGCTCCAAGTTCCTGGCAGAGATTAAGGCTTTGCCACCACCAATAAAACCCAAGGTGGAGAGTCTAAGTCTAGATCAGAAGCTGGCTGGGATTGAAGGACTTAACCATGCTCATGGGGTCGAGGCTCTTCTGCTAAGTGTTCAAAGTCATGGGCAAGACCGCTTTCCCTATGTGTATGAACTGTGTGGGTCAGTCATGTGCTCACATGAAGGAGAGGAGCCAAGAACTGAGGAAAGAGAGGACAGAGGCAAGGAAGTATGGCCTTGGGGGTCAGAAATGTCACTGTGCCAGAGACCAGCTTGCTGTTTCACTGTGTGGCCTCCATCCTGGGAGATGGGTCTTCTGTCAACTCCATCCTGTATGCTTTCCTTCTTTCTATGGGAGGTGAAGGATCTAGCCACTGAGGTCAGGACTCATTCTTCAGGCTCAGGACTCCTGTTAATCATCTAACTCTGGCTCAGAACTTGTTAGGATCACATCATATTGGGTGAGCTTCTTCCCCTCACACCCCAAACAATCACTACTCCAGTCATAGTTCAAGGACTCGAGAGTTACTGGTAGGCAGTGGCTGCAGTAGGCCTGAAGCCTAGAAAGTGCTAATGGATAGTTATTTTGACCATGCCCCTCTGCACAGATGGTTTGGCAGTGTGTGGCCACTGGAGCCCCACTGGCTAGTCTCAAATCTTGCCTGTGATGTGTGTTGGTTGTATGGCCTTGGGGTGTTGCTTAACCACTCTGTGCCTCTGATTTCTCATCTCTGAAATGGGATAATACTGAAGTGCTGAGGGAGGGAGGGAGTCGCTGAAATTCATCATGCTAATCGCTCAGAACAAACAGTAGTGGCTGCATTTTTTTTCTTTGAAAATAGAAAGCAATTTGCATTCTTCATTTATTTAACAATTCACTGGAGCACTTGCTGAGCAGCCCACTCTGTGCCAGGCCATTTGCCATCAGCACGTGGCCTTGGCTATAATGCCAGTCCCTCCAGGGCCTTCATTTTCTCATCTGAGGTGGGCTATGGCTCTGGAGATAAAATAGAAATGGGAGTGTGCCCTTACTTTAGATGACGGCTGCCAGATAAAGAGGGGCTGCTTTGCTGCCTAGAGGTGGGGAACGGCTCTTTCAAGAAAAGCAGGGTGAAATAACAGACAGAAGGTTAACCACCGTGGAATCTTGCTGAGTGGAGATGATTTGAGGGTTCTGCCTGAGCCAACCCCATCCGTAGTCTTGAGAGTAACAAGGCCAAGAGGATGTGGCTCTGAGCTCAGTAAAGAGCAGCAGCCAGAAAGGGTTCTGCTGGACAGAACTAAACTGTTAACTACCCAGCTGACTCTGCAGTGGAGTCCCAGGTTATATGGTCCCAGCTGTGTCAGCAACTCTCTGTGGGACAGAACCTTGTGGGGTGAGCATTTCCTTATCTAAAGTATGAAGGGCATGACCAGGTGACATTTGCCCACCCAGAGAAAAACACACCCAAGGAACTCATCTCCCAGAGGTAGAAGGGAAGAGTAACTGAAGACCTGAAACTTTCCATCACTCTGACGTACAAATACCCCAACTGCCTGGGCTGCCAGGCTTCTCCCAGCATTGGGTGCTGTGACTCCAACCTGTTTCCTCCTTTTGTGGATGAGGGAACAAGTGCCATAATGGTTCCACTCTTGTCTAAGGACACACACACACACACACACACACATACACACACACACACACACACACACACACACACACACGTCTTTTCCCCACACTGTGTCCTCCTGACACCCTGTTTCCCTTCTGACAAATAGGCTGTTCTCTTAGTGAGACAGAGGTGCATGAGCTGTTAAGATCCTCAGTGGTTTA